CTTCTTTCTAGATTCAGCAGCGCTTCAATATTTAAGGACTGGAAATATAAAATGGTAAAGAAAGGTATGCAATACTCCAGGGTTTTCCTGCTCTGGAAAACCTGGTCAAAGGGAACTGAGAACTTTAATTAAGAGCTGGAAAGGGTTGGAAAGTGGGGTCTGTGCAAACCCCACAGTAGGATGCATGTGAGTGGTGCAAGCTCTTACCCAGATGCCTTATATTTGGTGAGACCTGCTGAGGTCTCATTCACTGTGGGTAACCAGGTGCTGGAGCAGGGCCCACCTCCTGTGGGGATAGTGCACACATTACAAAATTAAAGGTCAAAGACTTTGTTTCCAGGTGCAGCATTTTCTTGAAACAGGCAAGGTAGGTTTTAATGAGCCTCCACGTAATATATACAGATTGTTTGATGAAAGAGCTATCTCAAATTTTGCTATTCAAAAGTGTGTGTGTGTACTTTATACATTTAGCTTTTCAAACCTAGTTTTTAAAATAGTCAGTTGTCTTTTTTTCGTGACAGTCTAAACTGTTGATTATGCGAACATCATGTGTGTGTCTGGGTTGAAAATAAGAGGCAAATCTTTGATGAAGATATCAGAAATTAAGTGGTCATCCACTTATTTTGATGTTTCACTCATCTGAGAAGAAAAAGGTACAATTTACTGATTATATTCAATAAAGAACACAAATAAATCAAACCTGGGACATGAAGCAGCATATCCTATGAAAAGAGGAACATGGTGATTTGCACACTGGCAAGAAAAATGCTGCGGGAGGATTTGTTTTGTCATCAACTGCATGCTTTAGAAGGAAATCAATTATTTGAATTTTTTTCAAAGGGTCTGCATAAAATCATATTGAAAAGAAGCCAAATGCCACTGCAACACTTACTAAGCCAGTTAAAGCATTGCTCAAGAAGCAAAAGAACTTACATAAGTTTTTTTCTTTCGTATGTGATGGGTCTTGTTCACTGCCACATTGCTCTGGTTTTATTCTGGGATAGTTAGAAACTGATATAACACGAGTGTATCAGCAGCTTGTTCAATCTGCTCTCTATGGTCAAGAAATAGCTAATTCCTTTAGAAAAAGAGATCAGATTGACGTATAGGAGAATGAGTGCCTAAGCCACCAAGTGCTATTTGTTACAACCTGAGCTGAATCATCATGCAAAGTGAAGTGGGATCAGTTCTGCTATAGGACTGTTTTGATAGCTTGCAAAATATATAGAAATATTTATTTCTTCCATTTTTGAGCAGAGAAAAATACGTGATGGTCTATGTTATCACTTGTTGTTTACTAATGTAAACACTTAGAGCTACCTTGAGAGTACAAACTATGTATGAGGACAAAGCCTTCAGTGGTTTTTGAGGAGTGCTTGTGTCATCTGGCCTTAAGCACCTCACTGAGCCATCAAGTAATTGGTTTTGTTTTCTTACATAGCAATGGAGGGAGTTTAGCAGCTCCTTTGGTTGCTCCTACACTGCATAAGAAATTAGGCATTTGGGATAGAGGCCTGCCTTTAGATGGTATGAGTCCACCTTCAGACTAGGGGGGAATCAAACAAGCTCCAAACTGGGCAAATAATGTTCAGAAAGTATAGGAGTATGGGGGAACAACGCACCTTCCTGAGACTTTAAAGCTGTGCACAACTCTGAAGCAAATCAGTACAGCTGCAGAAACCGCAACAAGAGTGTAACTAAGTGATCCTTGGAGGTTGAGCTGTGTAATTATCTAGGTAGATTTTCATTGCCTGTCAACTCTGTATAAAACTATGAAGTCGAAGTCTGTGCAACCGGTAGGTGCTTTTTACAGACGTGGAGGAAGACAACTTCCCATTCCGAAGAGCGTATGATCAAGAAGTGGTAAGGGATTTAATGTGGTATTTATTGATGGTTTTATTTTCCTACTCTTTCTTTCCCCTTGATCTCTACCAGGAACTTTTGGTGCTTTTCTGGTTTGTTGTCTGATAATTCTGTAGTAGGAAATATTTATTCTATCTCTGATACTGCTCTATTAATTTTCATTTAACAGTTTTCTGCTACTCAGTTGCAATTGCTGTACTTTAATTTCTCAAGTAGACTATTGAAAAAATGTTAGCACTTCATTTTTCTATTTGCAGGTTTTCACATAGATGTGGACTCTTATACCAGAAATTCGAAAGCTTTCTGTCACATATGGAGGGGCACAAGACACTTAAGGACTGATGTGTCTGTACTAGTCAGCTCAATAGTGCTTTTACTTGAATTTTGCTCAATGATGAATGTGGATTAAAATTGCCCAAGACATGCTGTGCAGACTAACATGTCAGCTGAAAAATAGAGTTTGGAAGAGGATGCAGTCCTCCAGCACACCATAACTAAAAAACAGGATCCCTCCACACAGTTGCTCCTTGTTCCTCACACTCAGATTGCCAGTGCCAGCAGAGATCTTCCCTTGCAGCTGAGCACTCAGCATCATTCCCTCCTACCCCACAGGTTCATAACATGTGAAAAATCTTGGGAAAACAGATTCATTCAGGAGGGCTGACTGCTTCTGAAAGTAGAGTGGTTCATCCTTCATGCATGAAGAGTCCAGTTCAGCAGAGTATTGAGGTGTCTGGGTTAAGCACAGGACAGATTTGTGAAAATACCACCCAGTCTATGTAGATTTATTCAAGGCTATGAGCAATACTGTGGAAATGTCACCTCCTGCATCAATGGCAGCAGATGTGTGCTCATTTGAATTCACATTTCTTAACAAGGTTTAGGATAAGTCTGTGTTAGAACTGATGGAGTTGGTTGGCCAGCAGCAGTACTTTTGCTTGTGTAACTCTTTGAAGATCTATCAGATCACCTCTGAAATTCCCCTTTCAAGGATGATGTAAAGAGGATGATCTGGTAGGGAAACTGCTGTTTGCTTTGGATTGCCAAAGAGAACTTGCCTTTCTGTAAGCTCGAGGCAAAAAAAAAAAAAAAAAAAGCTTGCATGGCTGTTACAAGCCAAGTCTGGGATGCTAGCAGTGAGGAAAGTCAGCAGCTTACTGCAGCACAGACCACCAGGGTTTGTTGGCTTGTCTATGCCCCTATTCTCTAGGGCCAGTGAGGAGCTGTGACCTGTTTCAGAGGGGTCTCTGGTGGCTAAAAACATATTTTATTCCCTTAAAATTTTAGCACACATAACTGTGGTTTTTTTCTTAAGCTCATTTCATCTGTCTGGATTGCATCAAGTGTTTGAGGCTGTATTTTGAGGGGGGAAAAAATAGAAAGGAAGCTTGAATATATTCATTAAAAACGATCCCTTCAAGTTCACTAAAGCAAACATACATTTTCTTTTCTCCACACGTAGTGCATATCATATCAATGCATAAAACCTAGTTTGGTAACTGACAGGTAGTTGAAGTCATACGGTGCATGTTTTAATGAAGCAAAGACAAGATGTCATATAAATACCTTACTATCTACATTTCCAGGTTTTCCCAGATTGTATCACCTGATTCCAGATGGTGAAATCACCTGCATTAAGATCAACCGGACTGATCCCCATGAGAACCTGGCCATTAGGATTGTGGGAGGCAGCGAGACTCCTTTGGTTCACATTATTATACAGCATATTTATCGAGATGGAGTAATTGCCAGAGATGGAAGATTGCTGCCTGGAGACATGATACTAAAGGTACAGTACTGTGGGAGTACAAGATAAAGAAAAATTGTATCCTGACAAAGAGTAACTATAAATTGATCATGAGATTTGCAGTGCTGCCTCCGTGTAGATGGAATAATACATGCAAGAAGAAGTCTGGTTCCTCTGCATGCTATGATTTCATTCATCTCAGCTGTTTTCATAACTCACATTTGTTTGCATTTCCCACTCAGTTATCAGGCTTCTCTACTTTCTAGCCAAGCATGGCAAATCCAAAATGCATTGCAGCATGATGTTGGCATGTCTGACCCAGCAGAATAAACATTTTCTTCTAATAGCAGGGGCAAGACTTATTTGACCTGTTTTTTTGGTTTGTTTGTTTGTTTGTTTTCTACCGAGCCATGGAATTGAATCTCACTTAGTGCAGTTTCCATTGCCTCAAATCCCACTTAAGGAGGTGACAGGGGTCTGGTCAACTTATGTCCTATCTGCATCAGCACCATACAATATGAGGCACTGCTTGCTCTGATCTGTGAGAGCTGCCTCATCAGCAGCCACAGGTGAAATCTCTAGAAACAAATGAACAGCTTTCAGGTGTTAGCCATTGGCTGCTACTTCTGCTTCTATAGAAATGTGTAACAGATGAGCAAGAATTAGGCCAGATGGTTAAAAATCATGTATCTTGTGAGCAGTGGCTCCAGCAATGAACAAGAACAGCTCTCTCAGCTGCCCCTTTGACTTGGAGATCTGAAAGGGTGCTACATTACTTTAATGTTTCAGTACTTGGAAGAAAGGCAAATCTCTGGTAAGTCCTACCTGGAAAAAGAAACACAAAAAGCCCAATACTCCAGTGTGATGCGTAAGCGACTCCCTGCTAAATACTCAGTGCTTTTGGCCTTCTGCTTGAGGCTCTTTTCTCCATTTTAATTAGAGGTTCATTAGTAGGGCACTTTTTTTTTTTCTTTTTCTTTTACTAAAACAGCTGAGAGATAATGAAGAGAAACAACTGGAAAGGAGTGGGAGTGGAAGGAAGGGCTGGCAAGGTGATCTGAAATCAGAAGCTAGTGAAATAAAACCAAGATATATGAAAGGATATTGGAGCTTGGGGGAGAACAATAATAAAGTTGAGAAATAACAGTTATGTCTGGAGACTATCCGAGCTGAGAGAAGGGGGAGGGGGGTGGAAAGGCAGAAAGTGTCTGTACAGTGCGTCCTTTCCTTGGAGGAAGGACTCCTTTGCACACAGACTTGGCCTGCTGCACCACGCTGCTGGGAGCAGAGCACACCACCTCATGTGAAGACATCTGTGTAAATAGAGCAGCCGTCTTCACGCCAGTTCTGATTAAATTGCCTTTCTGCCACTGATTTACAACTCTCTCTTCCAGGTGAACGGCATGGACATCAAAAACGTGCCTCACCACTACGCCCTGTCCATCCTGAAGCAGCCCTGCCACGTGCTGCGGCTCACGGTGCTGAGGGAGCAGCGGTACCGGTGCCGAAGCAGCGGGCTCAGCCTCGACGCTCACTGCAGCAGGGATGACAGCTTCCATGTCATTTTGAACAAAAGCAGCCCTGACGAGCAGCTAGGGATAAAGCTGGTCCGCAGGGCCGACGAACCCGGCGTGTTCATCTTCAACCTGCTGGATGGAGGAGTGGCTGCCCGTGATGGCCAGCTGCAGGAGAACGACCGGGTCTTGGCTATCAACGGGCATGACCATCGGTACGGCAGCCCGGAGAGTGCAGCCCAGCTGATCCAGGTCTGTCACCATGGCTTTGGGCACTGTTTCTGGAGTTGGCAAAAGACAAGTGATGCATTTTCACCATCCGTAGTAATGGTGCCGGGGACAAGATTAATAGGTGTGTGTTAATGGGAGGGAAGGTGTGCCAAGCCTCCTTTCCCAATCAAGGGTGGGAACTGGTACCTCTGAAATCTCCCTGGTGTCACAAGGGTGAATATGTGCATTTGCCTCCCTTTGATGCCTCCTGCAATCAGCTCACTTCATGGCTTTGTTTCAAAAAACAGGTCAGTGTGAATCTCTATATCCTTTACTCAGAGGGTGGTGAGGCAGACAGGCTGCCTGGAGGCACTGTGAATGCTCCATCTCTGGAGGTGTTCAAGGCCAGGTTGGATGGGACCCTGGGCATCCTGAGCTGGTTGGTGGCAGCCCTGCCCATGGCAGGGGGTTGGAATTGGGTGAACTTTAAGGTCCCTTCCAATGCAAACCATTCTGTGATTATATGAATCTATGATATGCTCTGTATCTGCCAGAATGCAAACCAGCCTGTACCCCAATATCACAGAGTCCAGCAGGGTCCTGACTCCCTCCAGGGGAGAAGGGAACAAACTAGAGAAGTCTAAGGCAACCACTGACATGTTTTGGGATGAGCATCCCAGCATCAGTGACTTCCTACAGGCATGTCTTATAACTGAATATACCTTGTGGATATTTCTTACCTAAATCCAGAATTAATTCAGATATTTTGGGGATGAAAAATAAGGATCTTGTTCTGTAGTTTTTATAAATCTCAATTTAGATTCTTATGGAGAACGAAAGGGGTGCCTCTCTGATGCACTTAACAGCCTTGCCACAAAACTGTCACTGTCTTTCTCAGCTACAGAATCAGTGAACTTCTGCCTAATTTCCCCTCCAGAACCATTTTCACTAAATTTATTTCTTTACAGCCTACCTTTTTAGAAAACTTCAACATAAAAAGCAAAGCCAAGGATCTTTTGTTGCTTTTCTTTCTTATTTATAGTAGTCATTGTACTTGTGCAACTTAACATTTCATTTAAAGGGATGCACGATGTTCTCATATTGAAGAATCTCACATACCTGAATACGAAGATGTTGAATCAGGCTGGATGCTCCGCATTTCAGGGGGTATAATCAGGATAACACAAGTCTGGCTGAAAGAATCTTTAAATGCAATGCATTTTGTGACAGATCTTCCCCTTTTAGCATAGGTTCACAGATGGCTGTGGCCAACTTTCACTGAAAAGTTTATGGCATAGGTAAAGATAAAGCCATTAGCTTGTCTTCATGCTGAGAGCAGGGCCTCCCACTCATTTGAGCAGGCATGTCCTGCCCGGGAAGCAAAACCGCATCCTTTTGCATAACACCAGTTGTTGAAATTCTGGTCCAGCATCTTTCTGGATTACGTTATGTAGATCACTAACTGGGAGCAGAAGGCGGCAGTTGGGGGGATGTTAAATTCTCCAAAGGGAACACAGTCGGGAATGAAAACCTTTCTAAAAATTGGTATTCTTGGAACAGTTCTTTATGGCTACAAAACAAGGCAACAGTGCCTCATAAGCAAAAAACACATGTAGTCTTGAGATGAAATGGAAAAAATGACTTAATGAGACCACTCACACACAAGTGTTTGAAAACACTACCAAAGTTCTTATTGGGTTCCAAAGACTGGATGTTATTTATAATAATGCTTGAAATGCATACCAGTCTCTGGGAATTTAAACAACATGCTCATCAAAGGGAAGACTCAGGTTTCCAAACAGCCAGGATTGCACTGATGTGAGCTCTATGAATCACATTTGTCTAATACAAAATTCCTGGATCCTTTGTCATTTTTTTGCCATGTTTTTTCATCGATTATCACTTGCTTTTCCTGTTTCCATGCTATGTCAGAGAAAAACCATTATACTGAGGCCACAAATGTTTTACGTTTTCTTCTTACACAGCTTGTTTTACCTCATCCTCCCATTTTTTGACAGTACCCTGTCTATTGAAATCTCAAAGTGTGTCACTCTGCACATCTTCAAATGTGCTATATGCTTCTAAGATGTGATTGGCTCCTTTAAAATCAGAATGAACATTCAATGGTACGATAAAAGGTGGTAATGGTTTATTATGCTAATCACAGCTGGGAGAACTTCACGTTTCTGCAGAGTCTGATTAGTTTTGACTGCTAATAATGAATAATTAAGAAAAATCTGATTCTTCAGGCCTGTAGTGATTATGCATCAGCATATGCAAAGCAGTTGCTAATCAGGAGATTAGGTGTCAGCCTGTTTAGAAGCTCAGTCACAAGAACTGAAACAAAGAAAACATGTACCTGCTAATTAAGAATGCGCACACATCGTAACACTCAGGAACTTGCTGCTCCCCGTTTGCCACATCATCTTTAGTCACAATCTTGTGTCAGATGAGGCACTTTTTAATCTAAATGACGTGATGTCCCATAGCTGTTTCTTGTGGGTGCGACATGAAAATGATCATGGTACCAGAAGAGTAGGCAGTTGTGTGAGGATATCAGCCCTATCTGCTTGGTTGGGCCAAGGCAGCTGCATGGCTACTTCGTTTCCAAGTGACTGCTTGGAAGTTGTCACCGTGTCCCTGCCTCCCTGCCTGCTTGGATACAGCCACCTTTGTGCAGAGGTTTTTCTTTGCAGCACCTTGGTGCAGGCAGCCCTTTTGGCTGCTGTTGTGTTTGAACACTGCACCTCCAGCAGCGCTGGGTGTCACAGCACAGGTAACTAGAGGTGTTTCAGGCTGTTTTCCCTATCCCAGGGAAATATTTGCCAAAAAGCAGTGGCGGAATCAACCTGGCACAGAAGTGACCTTCAGAGGTTTACAGGCCAAAGCTTTGCAGAGCATTCCCCAATCTATGTTTGATTTGCTTTGACCATAACGCAGATTTTAGTTCTAGTAGATTGTTTCCATTGTTACTTGTATTCAAACAAGTATTCAAAGCAAACCTCATTTCTTTAATCCTTGTGTTAGCGTGAAGAGCAGAGAAGGGACTGGGAAAAACAAGCAGTAAAGGGGGAGGAGAGAGGGAGAGATCAGAATGAAGCAGTAATTAATACTCTGATCAGTAGAAGCAGTAGTGGGGATCAGTAGAAGTAGTAATGGGTTTGTGTATGGAAGTATGTAAGTACAAAAGCTAGTCATCTTGTTTGGATAACTCTTTAAAACACTTTGACTTCTGAGAAATTACTTAACTTGACTGACCTGGAGACAAATGCAATGTTGCAATACTCTTGTTGAACTTCTGTTAGTCTGTCCTCAGAGAATTAGTCACGTTTACAACCTTCCTCTAAATAACCAACTTTGAGACTAACCATGTGGCAACAGATGAGCTTTAAACAGAAGTTGCATAAACTGAAGTTGTTTGTTTTAAGGAAAACTGTATTTTCATGGGGGTCAAATGCCCTTAGGAGACTTGATAATGTGTTGTTCAGCTACATTTTGAGTATTTTACAAACTAGAAATCTTGGGGTGGTTTCCTTTCTCCCAAGAGGTAGAAGCCTACTTCTGGGTGCCAGATGAATACCCAAGGGTACTGGTAAAATTGTTTGATAACAATAAACCTAGTAAAGTCTAGAACTCTCTAGAAATATCTAGAAAGTTATTTTTACATATATATAGGTGTATACCAAATGATATATTATGAAGCTGTGGAGATTTTATTTGCTAGTTTGAAACCTAGCATCTCCCAGAGTGCAGGTGAGATAGCTAAGAAATTTTTTTTACTGAAGTAGCACCTTCAAATAGCATGGGCTGGACATGCAAATTTCAAACTTGTATTTGGAAGTTTGATAGAGATAAGTTGTTTTTTTTAATTCTCAGTACTACTGAATCCAGCCACAGGAAAGGCAAAATGAACTATAACAATGTAAATCCCAGGAGCTTCCTCTGGCTTCTCTTGATTGTCCATGAGTCCAGTAGTGCAACTGGATCTGGGGTTGATTTCCAGCTGCTTATTCAATGGCAGCTTTCCTTGGAGCTCCTCCCCAGAGAGCAGGAGGTAGCAAGCACTGGAAGTGTGACATGCCAGAAGCTCCAGAGTAGCTTGATGGGGTTTCCAAATTAGATCCCTGACATTGACCCCCACACAAGCAGACAGGAGTCCCTGTGGGACCAAATGCTGTTACTCTATGCCCTTGCCTGTGCCTTCTTATTCTCTTTTTCTGTGTTCTGGCTCACTAGGATTTTATCTCTTCAAGTGGTGACGCATCCCTTTCTTCAAGCTGCCTTACATCTGCTGTGCTTGTTACACACAGGTGGACTCTGTTGCACTGTTCTTCTCCACCCTCACTAGCCTAAGCTGGATCATGCTCCTCATTACAGCACTGATTGTGGGATGTCTCTCCTGCAGCAGGCACATTGCTGGTCTGCCCTGGTGCATGCAGGAGGACACAAGAAATGAACAGTGATTGCATTACCATGGGTCAGGTCACTACTTGCAGCCAGATTTAGGGCAGACAGAAAGGCTTTTTTCAGCATTAACACTAAATTTTCAAGTTTTAAGTAGCTGGAAATAAACTTGTATGACCTGAACTGGTACTTCTTCATGTTAATGCAACCGGTGCGGAGAGAATTCCAAACTGAGCTTAAATGGGATCCATGTTTGGTCACTCCTTCCTGTTCAGCTTGTTCTGGGTCATTGTGGCAGAGTGATGGGATTCACGCTGTGCTTCCTCCCATAGGCCAGTGAGCGACACGTCCACTTTGTGGTATCACGACAGACCAGACAGCAGCCCCCTGACATCTTGCAGGAGACAGGATGGAGTTACAGCAGCAGCCCCCAGCCCTGTCCTGCTGAGAGGATCAGTGCCAGTAAGGTGAGGCCATGTCTGCTCTGCTGTCCTTGGGAAAGGGGACTTTTGGGGTCAGGGTAGCCTTTCTGGATCCTGTCACCAGAAGTGTCTTGTCTTATTCTACAATTGAAATATAAAACTGTGCTCCTCATCATCTGTGCTCCGGGAAGTGTTTCTTCCCTCACTCGGTTTGAGATGAGAAGGGGAAGAGAAGGTGAAGGGGGATGGTGGGGCAGTGGTGTGATGGGTGTGGAGCTGAACTTGTGCAGAGACCTGAGCCACACAGGGAAACATGCTTCAATGACAGTAAGAGGTTTATTGTTATATCTCCAACTGAAGCAATGTGTGCAGGAAACAGTTTTCATAGGTTGATCTAAGAGATTCCTATAAGCTTCTTGGAAGTTACAGTAGTTATTACTCTGTTGAATTTTTCTTAAGCTACAAATGTTTTGACCCAGCCTAAAGAGCTGGAAGATCCTCACTGGCCATGCCAAGCATACCAGTTTTCTGCTGGCTTTGGACACCAAATGTGCTGGTTTTGGAAGCTTGTGCTTGACTGTACCACTACTTATGACTCCAGGGAATGTCATCGTTACAGCAAGAACACTGGGAGTGCCCTCTCCTGCAAGTATCTTGGTATCCAGGTCTTGTCCTTGGGCTGAGAAGGACAGGGACAAAGGAGTATGGTGTTGATCTAGAAAATGGCAGCCTGTGTCAGAGGGGCTTAGGTGCTCTCTTCTGTGTTTTAAAGACTTGCCTGCATTCAGAAAAGTGACTCTGAATCATCTGGAGTCATCATTTTAAGTAGGAGTAATGCCACTCAAACCAAATTAAACTGCTGTATGGAGGTGCTCCTGTTGTGTGGAGTGACAGTGGCTTTTGTTTGTGGCTATGGGAAACTACAGTAGATAGAATATAATTTTACTGTATGCAAGAACATGCTTGCAGGAATTAATTTCTTTATTTCACTAAATTTAAGTTACATTCCTGGTTAATTTATGTCAATTACTCAGAGTGTCACCCCTACACAAAGCCTCACAAGCTAGTCTTTGGCCCCCTGCACCAGGGGGTGTCAGGAAGGTGAACAGCAGGGCTGGTTAAATCCATCCTGCCTGATGGGCAGCCAGAAGTGCCCCTTAAGAGACCTTATGGCTAAACCAGCTGCCAGATTGGGTGCACAACTATCAGCCAGCAGACGAGCCTAGCTCTGCATTACAGATGCTTAATGACACACAGTCTTTGCAGGCTTCCTTTTTTAAAAAACAAAAACAAAAAAACAACCAAAAACAAAAACAAAAAAACCCAAAAAACTACATTTATTCAGTGTTTTTAATGAGTAAAAAATATAGCAGTGTATCTTTAGTTGTAGTTTCATTTTCTGTGAAGTCTCAATCCCAGCTCTTGGTACGGATCAACAGGAGTTAAATCATGGAGCAGTCGATGCCTGGTAGCCACTAGCCAGTAGCAGTAGTGCCCAGCTAATCGTGCATCTGCAAAACATTACTTACTAATGAAGTAATGCTTTCCTTAGGGAGATATGTGTAGGACAGCAGTTATATCACGTTGCTGCTGTATGATTTCTAGTGATGCTTGGAGCACCTGCTAGCTCTACCATGGAGATCTGATTAATTGATACCATGTGGGACTATACTGCTTGTTTTTCGCACACTGCCCTAGATCCCTATTTTCTCTTCCTATATCAAGAGGTATTGGACAAATCTGGTAAATTCAACATTATTTGGGGGATCTATAAGCTTAGCTGGTCAGCTAAATTGACCTTGCAACTGTCCCTCTAAGGCTAAAAAATCATCTTTTGTTGAATAGGCGATAGCTTGTGGGGGTATTTCCAGTTTGCCTCAAGAGATGCGTGCTCCACTAGAATGTGAGTGGGCTGCTGTGGGCTTCTGCCCAGTGCCACTGCTGGGGCACTGTCCAGGGAAGATCAGAGCCAGGAAACAAAACTTTGAGCTATTACCACCTCCCTTCATCTCTGTGCCGGCAGTGGACAGCCTGTTTCAGAGAATATGCTCTGGCAATAGATCTGTAGATCAGTACAGCCAGTGGACACTATTATCTTCAGACACTGAGGGCTTTTGGGATTATACAATCACTACTGGAGTGTTATTTGCCCTTTTATAGAGTACAAGCATGTCAGTTTGAATTTCTCCTGCTTTTTTGCTGAAGGTTCAACTGAGCATCATTTGCAATTCAAGATCTTTAAACTCTAAGCTTTGGCAGGCTTAAAATGTTATTTTTTTTTTAAATAGACATTAGTGCAGGCGTAATGCTTGCAGGCCTAGGGTCTGCACAGTGTCCAAGTGCAGCATGTGCTCCTGCTCACACACAAGGCAGCACAGTGCATACTGGCTGCAGTTTACTATCAAGGGAGTTTGCTACGTGTGTGTGGTTTGTGGATCTGCTACCTGCTGCCATCGGTGGGGTTGCTTTGTTACGTGTGATAGATAGAATGATTGCTAACTGACCTGAATTTTTATGAATTTTAGCTGTTTATTTTTTCCCCTGGGCTTACCTTAGTGGGTGGTGTTAGCATGTCAGGAACACTCTCTTTAAGGGAAGCAGCTCTCATGTACATAAATATGGGCTGCAAGTACTTGTAAGCCTTGCATTTGGTGCCGAGAGTGAACTCTAGCTTCCAGCAGCCACCTTGTTCATACAAGGGCTGAGAAATCACTTTGGGCCAAGCTGTTGCCCTACAATCAGCTTGCATCCATCCGGACAGAGTGAGAAGGCAGCTCTTTCAGGCTGGTACCGATGGTAATTGGGCATGTAATGCCATCTCCTTTTGCAGTGGCTGTGATGGGCTGTGTATGGTGTGCTGGGAGACTTGGGGCCTTGTAAACCATATTCTGGTCTGCAGGGTGGGGGGATGTGGTTTCTGCCTGGATTCAGAAAAGAGAAGATGTCAGGAACACTTTCTTGTGCAGCAGAGGCTGTTGAGCAGGGCTGGAAATAAGAAATAGGCCAGATTTGATTTCTTTGAAGTCAGTGGGAGCTTTGCCATTAATTAAACAACACTTGTTTTTAATTGGAACTGATCTCTTGCTCCTCTCTCACTAAATGCCCAGTACGTAAGTCATCCCATTGCTTAAACAGGAGATGTTCTGTGGACATACAAGCAGGTTGGCCCTCAGGTGAAGTGCATCTTCCAGACACAGCTATGTACTTTGCCTTCAAGACATGCATCGTGGCTTTGATGTTGTGATAATCTGCTGTAAATATTTATTTTACAGTAAACATATCCCCAGATATTTTTTAAAAAGGAGAAAATGAACTGTTATATTTTTCTTCTGACCTCTGAGGTCACTTCAAAATGACAGAGGAGGACAATTGTTTGGAAGAGAATGCATTGCAATGCAGTCACTGATAAACACCGCCTTTCAACTGGTTTATTCATTATCAGTGGTCCTTCCAGGAAAGCTCTACGTGTGTTTACTAAAAAAGGCTTTGCTTCACTTTCATCACTGCCTTTGTCTCAACTGAACCACCCTAATTCCTCTCTATCTGAAGCCATGTAAAAGGACATGTGGATAGAGCAGCTTCAAAGGAAAACTGATCCTACGTGCTTGAGTATACAACTACCACTGCTTTTATGATTCTTTCCTGAAATGTAACAGAACAATTTATTTGCCAGCACTGTTTAGAAAGCACTGATTCCTGAAAAATAGAGCCCTGTCTGGCTTAGCAGCCAGCATTTGTGTGTGGGACATGACGGTGTGTGGGACATGACGGACATGGCAAGGGTAACAGGATTGCTCTGGGTTCAACCTAAATCAAAATTGCATATTTTGTTACAGAATTACAAACTGCGTTGTTTGTGAAAATTAGTAGTGCCCTTCCAATGTCATAAAGCCTCAGGTTCAGTTGGAAGCCGTAGACCCACTGACTCTGACACAGTGCCCGTGTGCTGCGCACAGAGGTTGCTGTGTCCAAACATCTGCCTCAGTTTGCTGTTACTTGCAGTGATGGAGAGATCTTTTTCACCAATTTCTTTGCCTTTTTGTTCCCAAGGGTCTGCGGCTTCCCCAAAATGAAGCCGTTCCAGCACTATGTATAAGCAAGCACTCCACATTGCTGTCCCTGCACCTCAGAATTCTTACCAAGACTGTTCCTTTTTCCTCACTATTCCCATATAACTCTGTTGCTGCTCTTTCCCTTCCTCCACCTCGGTAGTGGCAGGAGCAGCCACAGGCCCGCCTGCTCCTCTTTCTGCTCTGCTGGCACAGGAATCGAGGTGGGATGTCCTTGTGGGATTTGAAATTTATTGGAGGAGATTAATGTGGCTTTAAATGAGATTTATAGATTATTTTTGCATATCATGAATGTGAGGTCACACTTGTGAATGAGAAGGGGGCGGGCGTTACGTGTGAAATACATTTAGCAGCTATTCTAGCTCCAAGGGGGCTTCTGCAAGAGGGGCAGGGCTCTTCATAGCCTGATCATTACAGAAGTGAGGAATACTGGTGGTCCTAGCTGATCTTAGCATCAAGAACTTTTCTTTCTTCTTCTTCTTTTTAATCATTCTCCATATTTACATTTCAAAGACCTACTCCTCAGAGTTTCATGGCTAAGACTCTTCTGAGTTCAGTGGGGGCTGTGTCTGACCTTAAAGTGTGGATTATTTTGGCTGTACCTCTGACTCTGCAGAACCTAAGCCCAAGCATGTTAAGCAGCTGTCAAGTGCTTTGGTATTCCCTAAGTGTTTCCTGGTGAATACTTGCTTCAGTAGAAATTGCTTAAGCTGTCAGGGGGTCTCCATGCTCAACGCGTTTGTTGTTGCTGTTTTTGCTATCACAGAGCACTCTTCACACTGTCACCTGTCATGAGAAGGTGGTGGCTGTCCGGAAAGATCACACGGAATCACTGGGAATGACTGTGGCAGGCGGAGCAACGAACCGAGAATGGGATTTGCCTATCTATGTGATAAGCGTTGAACCAGGAGGAGTTATCAGCAGAGACAGCAGGATAAAAACAGGTAAAAAGATGGGGATCTTGGCAGCCTGCTTTAATTCAAAGGGTTCCTTTAAAAAGCAGGGATAGTGCAAAAGCATCATGCCCTGACACTTTCAGCTGTCCCAGAGGCTTCTGTTGGGAGGCGGCAGATGAGAGGGTCTCAAGTCAGCCCCCAGAAAAGGCATAATTCACAGCAGCAACCACCTCTGTGAAGGGAAATGTAGGCGTATTGTGGTAGGAAACAACCATTTTTCACAAAAAAAAAAAAAAAAAAAGCCTGCACCACTATCTCTTAACTGCTGAAATCTTCATTATGAAATGATTGTTCTGGGATTTTTTATGTACATTTCTGAGCTTGTTTGTCATATAATTTATGAGCTCTAAGAGAGATAGCTGAACAGAATTCCCATCGTATATGAAGTAATGCTAATGCCTTGTGGCTCAACATCTTGCCTAAAAACATTGGCGTCGTACCTCCATTTGGCTCTTGATGCAACCAGAGGCATTCATGGATTCTCCCCCTCCATGAGCACAAGCCATCTGGAGCAAGTTGAGGTGTATTTTTTCAGTCTTTTTTGCAGGAACTGATAGAGGGCAGAGGAATGGTGACAGATGCCACTGTTCTGGGGGTGCTGTGTCTTCTCAGCTTCACCTGGGTCACACTGTCCCAAAGCTGCAGAGAATTTCTGACTGCACAGAAGGAATTACTCTGCTCCTCACAGCACCAGGACAGTCAGAACAGGGAGAGAATTGGTCTTTTTGAGCCCTGCAACCCACCACAGCCTATGTAGGGATCTCGTTTTGCAGGAACTGTAACTTTTCCTCACACGTGTGACAATGCAACAACAGGAGCAAACAGGCAGCTTTTCCCCTCTCCTCCTGCTGGGAAATAACTGCCTCTCAGTGGGATGCATTTTCCAAAATATAAAAAAAAATATTTAAAAAAATAGATTCATTATGAAGCAGACAACCCAGCATGGAAAATTCAGCCTGGTTAATTTGATAAAATTGGAAACAAATGAATACATGATGTTACAACAGTACCATAGGCTTCCAAGGTTTTGAGCAGCCTTAAGAGTTTTGCTTGCCTCCCGGGGCAGACCACAGGAGAGGTTCACTCAGCAGTGCTGGGGCTGCCAGCACAGGGGATGCAGATGGGGTGCTGCAAGAGCACCCCAGATTTGAAGAAGGGTGTCCCTCTGCAAGGACAACCGCAGCGTTTATGGGATGTAGGTTAGGTGGTGCCATCAACAGCTTCATTAGACAGCAAGCTCTTGGCTCTGGATTTTGCTTGTTATCGATGGGAATGCATCTTAGCAACACCAGCGGGGGCTTTTCAACCATCTCTTTTTATCACAGGTGATATCCTCTTGAATGTGAACGGGATCGACCTGACAGGGGTCAGCCGGAACGAGGCTGTGGCCCTTCTGAAAAACACCAGCTCTTCCGTGGTGCTCAAGGCCCTGGAGATGAGGACATGTGACGGCCAGGAGCGCAGCGAGGCCGCCGAGCACAGCGAGTGGACACCATCCTGGGTGACGTGGCTGGGGCTGCCCCGGTGAGTTTGGCAATGGCCGCCTCCTGCTGAAGGGGGAGTGGGAGGAAAGATTTGTGTTCTCTGGCAGTTCTCTCTTTTGGCTTGATTCATTGCCCTGACATGTTAATTAAATCCAGGCTCCGTCACAGACTTTCCTCTAAATACCTCCCTTTTGTAAGCGGGTATGTGTACATGGAAAAATAGACACGCAGATCCCCTCGCAAGGGAGGGAAGTATCCTGAGTTGTTCCAGTCCTGAAAACGTATCTGGCACTTAGGGAGAGAGAGGAAGAACTTGTATGGAGGCCTTGGCTCGACCACCCTGCAGAAGGCAGAGCTGCCCCTCCTGCTGCTCCCAAGCTGCACAGCCTTCATTCTCCCTTGCCAAAGGCAGCTGGATTGTTTGGCTTTGCCCAGATGTTGCACAGTGCATACAGTTGGCCAGCATCTCCAGATCACCTCTCTTCACCCCACCCCCGACTGGAAGAAGCACATTTGTCACACGCAGGAAGCAGCTGTGTTGTCCTTTCAGAAAGGATAATGAAAGCCACGTCGCATGCCGTGAAGTTCTCTCCCAGTTGGTGCACACAGCGTATACCTGCAGCTTCAGAGACATTTTGTGGAGTACAAACTGAGGACGTGCTGTGAGTCTATGGAGGCACAAAGCCAGCATCACTGGCGGCAACCCTCCTTCCCCTGCCTCAAAGAATGAAGAGTTCAGCCGACTAGCTACTTCCACCTGTATTCCTGAAGCCAGTGGAGGTTCAGAAAGTCTCTTTCTCTTGTGAGAAGAGACAGTCTGCAGCACAGGCGGCCTTGCTCAAATTCAGGACATGACCTCACCTTCCCACCTGCACAGAGATTTGATGCTCTTCCTCCTCGTGCCTTGAGCCATGTTGAGCTCCTTCACCTTGCAGCAAGCTCTGCTTTGATGGCCAAGTGGTGCCTTGCGTGGGTGTGCTCTGTGAGCCCATCTGAAGCTAATATTTTTGAATAGAGCAGGCTGGTTGTGTGTCTGCCACCAATGGATGGGAGGTTCCTCCTGCAGTGGAGTGGACTGAGCTCTTACTACTGTGAAGGAAAAGCAGTAACAAGAAAAAGCAGAAAACCAATAGCCTATCACTTGCTCCCCCAGGAATGGTGAACTCCTCTCTCCCAGTCGTACTGCAGGCAGGTAGAAATAGTGAGGTTATCACTCCTGATCGCTTCCTCTGTGTTCCTGAGTGTGACCACTGCATTTTACAGGTGATAACGTGCAGCACCGGAGCATGAGTAATGCTCCCTGTAGAGAAGGAGGCAAGCAGAGCAGGCCTTATGATGCTGAGTCCTGCGTTCAAGTCCATAGCTAAATGGGCACAAGCAGTGCACCCTGTTTGCACCCTGCTTGCTCCTGGTGTCAGTGCACCTTTGCTCTGTTGCATAGACAGCCTGAACTGCCTGCTTTTCATCTCCTACCCACAGCTGCCCAAAGTTCCCACGTCCTCATTGAGGTGACTGAGGTGAAGGACAGAGCTCCACAGTGCTGCAGACTCGCACCTGGTATTCCCATCCATCAGTACTGCTTTGAAGTGTGTGAGGAAAAGGGAGGTATTTTTTTCTTCATTTAAAAGCAGTATTTAAGCTCCCTCTATCCCCCCTTCCAAAGGCTGCATGTGTTAAGCCATTACCAGCCGTTTAGTCTGAAGGAAAATTAGCCCCAATGTCAGCAAGCTTGCAAACAGGAAGCTCATTGTGCTCTCATCCCAGCTGCAATGGCAAGCACAGTGTGGCCTTTCTCTGCCAACCCGGGGCAGAGCATTAGTATGCTGGTCCAGCACGCCAGTCCCACCACCAGGCTGAGATAGGGGCCAGGGTTGGGCAGGAGTGATGGTAACAAAGGTGTACTTCATCCTCAGAAGGAGTTAGTTGGTGCATGTAGGGCATGAGGATCAGATCTGAATTTGCTCATTAGGTACAGTTGGAGTCTTCACTTTCCCCCACAGTGCGTGCTCATATGAAAGTATCATATGAGCTCATTTCCCTCCAATCTGAGCATTCAGCTTTTCCCTACCTGCCCTTCAGTATGCTTTTGGCAGGGATTACAGTCCAATAGATCTTGAGGTATTTCCAGAAATCCCATGGATTTCCAAGCTGGTACAGAAAATGATTCTCCATCCACACACACTTCAGACAGGCCCGTCTGGGTAAAGGTACCTGGTGTGCAACCAACGAGCAAGGAGCATGAAGTAAAACCATACCATTTACCAGAGGGACTGCTCCAAGGTGCCTGCATCTAAGAACAACTGAAACAGCTGGTGGTAAGGTAGCAATGTCAAAATCATCACTGTATGAGATCACATGAGGTATTCGGGAAGATGGACAGTGCATACCTATGTGAGAAAAACTTCTGGATCCAGTCAGTAGCAGCAGAATGAGGCAGACACGTTATCTCACTGAAGCTCACAGCCTTAGAAAAGCTGTCCTGCACAATTCAACGTTTGGGGAACTCACTTGAATTTTGGCAATCTTAATATTGGCCTCAATAGCTTTTCTGTGATTTGCTAGTACGTAAACAACTTCTCTGTTCTTTCTGTAGCATGGTCCAGTACGGGGTGGTTATAAAATAGACACACATGTGAATCTGACATCTGTCAAAACTTGGACTGCATGGGCGCAGGGGCTGCGGGCTGTAGGAAACATTGATGCAGAAACGTAAGCACTCCAGCCTGGAGACTTATTTCAGGGTAGCTAATTTAATTTTTTGTTGTTGAGGAAGACAGGTCACGTTTATTGTTGGAGGGAAATGTTGTTAAGAATGCACAGAGCAAATAATGTGCAGCAGCTGGTGAAAAGCATTTCCCTAGTCCTGTGACATTTCTCTCACTCCAGCTTGTGCTCCCGCTCTCCTTTCTTTTCTCTCCTTACGTTTCCTTCCCCCAGCTAGCACTTAAAAATACTTTATAGATCATCCTGTCATAACATTTACAAGCATTAGTACTTCACACGAGTGCTTTTGCTCATCTGCAAAGTGAGACAAGAAAGACAGGAGTTGGCCAAAGTCATTCTGCAAACCAGGGGTAGTACTTGGCCTAAACATGGAGCTGGGAGGGAAGTTCTTCCAAATTAACTCCCTCCAGGCTCTTGAGGCGCACTTCTCAAACTTCGCTCCACTCAGGTGCCAGATGCTCCCCTGTTGCAGGCAGAGGGAAGTGCCCTGTTTTTCCAATCTTATTGCTGCTGTTCTTCTGCTGCCAGGTTGGCTTTGGCTCCCAGATCATGGAGCTGCCTATGCTTTGTAATAGGAGGGAACTGTACATTGCTGTTAAAAACAGGCAATTTTAAACTCCTCGTGCAGCAGTAACTGATGCTTGGATGTGGTATTTCTTATGATAGGTCTGTGTCTAGGCTGCTTATCCTCAATTCTCAAATCTGAGGCAGCTCACACATAAAATACTCCTTGTCCTCAACTTTTTGACCACTGGCGTGCTTACAGATAGTAGCAAAAGGCTGCAAACAGCTTTGCTCCTAGACAGTTCACTTTGGACTACTTGCAGTTTAGTGGGTTATGGCAGCTTAACTGGGTCAGATCACTTGGGCTGGGGGTCACCACCACAGAAAACTAATCTACTCAGGCACACTAAGCATCTGCAGCTGACGCAAATACTGTTTCATTTTCTTTCTGTGGCACTTCTTAGCTTGCCTTGATTACTATGCAGCTGGAAAGAGCCAAATGAAATACCTCTCTTCAGGCTGCTCTTTGCTCAGGACACTGCAGGAACAGCCTGGGATGTAGCTTGGCATCCCATGTGTTGGGCTCCTGGCATTACGTTAATGTTCCCAGCAGCACTGATGAATGGCTTATGAGTGGTGCATTGCCGTGTTTGTGCCCTGTATCCTATAGGTGAAAGTCCATTTTAAAGAGGCAGGTTACAGCCCTTTGCCAGCAATAGGTGGAATGGGGCACTGGGGCAGGACATAGGAGTCCATCTCCAGAACAAAACAGCCATGCTGAGGACAGGTGGTTTCAGGACTGACTTCAGGTAAGTGGGAGTGATCTTCTGGTTTGATTTCAGCAAGTCCCTGCAAATCTGCAAAGTAGGAACATCACCAGATGATCAGAAACTGTGTGGCGCTGAAATTAATTCAAAAAATACTGGAGCGAGATGTACCTCGTTTGTCCTAAAGGAAATGAGTTTGGTGCTCTGTAACATCAGAACATCAGTTTATTCCAATTCAAGATACGGTGCAAGGGCAATGGGCAACTGAAACTCAGCCATTGCATTAAAGAAAAACACCTTTTGGCTTGGTAATTATGTACAGCATGTGCTAATACTGGCAAGCAATCTCTTACATCTAGCATAGATCTTGATAGCATGTATTTGTGCCTTCCAGATTGATGGAAACTGTGTAGCTGTTGTTTTTACAGAATGTTGTACACAATGCATGTATGTCTTTACTGTGTCCTCTCCTCATGCCTTTACCTGCTTGACAGCTTTTCTATAGCATCAGGATTTAACCTTCCAGTTTCCTTAGGTAAAGACCATCATGCTGGGCAGCAGAGCCCCTGTCCCTCAAACCAACACAGCATAATAGCACTACCGGCTGGGCCCTGGCACTGCTTGGTCATGACCTTGATAAGTACCATCAAACACAGAGGTCCTGAGTGATTTTGCACATTTAAGTCCACAGATGGTAAAGTACTAATGCCTGGCTGCTGACGAAAGAAAAAAAAAGTATCACCTGTTTCTTACATTAGCAGCCTGCACAAACATTATATACCTACCATCCTGGCAGCAGGTGAATATTTGTAGGCCCTGGGGGATTAATTGATTACTACTATAAAATCCTGCTGTGAAACACAGCAAAAGCATTATTTGGCAAAATTTAAAAACACTAGACATAGTGGTCTCTGAGATAAGGTTATTAATCCTTCTATGGAAGAAAGGTCAGCTGTTTCTTAGAAACCTAAAGTGTTTCTGAATAGAGCTTGTTGCAGTTTTTGCTGTAGGCCAACTTGTCTGTTTGGATGTGGAACAGCAAAAGGATTTTCAGGCTTTTCAGTCATTCCTGGGCAAACTGATAATGATGAGTGGATTAAGGACAGCCTCCGTTGTTCTGTAACTCATTTTTTTTTTTTTTTTTTCTAATGGGTTAAAATGAAAAGAACAGGCATTCTAAGTAATGTACTCATGAGCCATATGCAAAATGTAAGAGTCTAATCCTCACACAGCTCTTAATTTCCCCTATTCTTTGTTTCAGCTAAACTTTGAATAAGCATAAGCTAGTTGATGCCCTATCCCTGGAGACTTTGAAGGCAATGCTGGATCAGGCCCTGGGCAACATGATCTAGCTGTGGTGTCCCTGTTCATTGCAGGGGAGTTGGACTAGATGATCCTCAGAGGTCCCTTCTAAGGATTCTATGATACTACAATATCATAAAATACATTTAAAAGAGGCAGGAGAGGCAGACTGCAGCTCTCTTAGCAAAAATACTGATAGTTGTTACAATCAGAACAAGCTGTTTCCAACAGCAGACTCAGTACTCCAGTGCTGACTGAAATGAATGGGATCTGCTCATCCTCCATGCTCCAACTCACCGTGTTGCTTGGCAAGAAAAGCTCAGGATTCCTTCTTCCTGGTATTCTTCTTTGTGTGATCTCTGCTACTGCTGTAATTCTGGCTCAATGCATTGGCCTTGGATTTTTTTTTTTAGTTCTCAATGCCTGGCTACTTTTGACACAATTAATCACATACAGAAGATAAAAGCAGTCACTGGATTGTATGAGGCAAATGAAATACAGTTTCTGGAATTACAGCTTAGAAATATTAAATCCAGTCTGAGAGTGTTTTCATCACTTTCAGTAGTAACTAGAACATTTCCATTAAATCTTACCATGTGAACCCACTGATTTATTATTTTAAATTCAAGATGAGCTAGTTCTTTCACTTCTAGGATAATGGGTAGTGGAAAGCAGCACTGAAGTAAAGAAGGAAACGGCAAGTGTTTACTACAAGGGAACTTCGCTGTTATTTCACATCTCCAAAACACTCTATGAGCATATGAAGAAGCAGATGCCTCATTAATCTGGAGTTAGTCGTAAGACATTTAATCAGACTGCTTTGTTTCAGGTATTTGTACAGCTGCAAAGAAATTGTATTACGAAGAAATACATCCGGGAGCCTCGGCTTCAGCATTGTAGGAGGCTATGAAGAACACACTGGAAACAAACCTTTCTTTATCAAATCCATTGTTGGGGGAACACCAGCATACAACGATGGAAGAATCAGGTAATGGGAAATGCTACTTCTCACTAGGTTGTCTTTCATCCAGATTTTTTAAACATGCTTTGCTTGAACACTGTAAATGGGGAAGTAAAAGGAATCCCCTGACAGGTAGGAAGACAAAGCATACTTCATATTAACAAATTAAAAATTTCTAGTGAGCTCAGTGGAGTACAGAATTAAGCTCTGAAAACAGGACACAACTGTCCTGAACTTAAACAGACTTACTTTCATTGTAGAGTATTTCTGGATGGCTTTCTTAGCAATCTCAAGTATAAGTAAAAGATGCATTTGATTTCTAGGGCAATAAAAAGAATGCCAGCAGAGGAGCTTTTCTACACCCCCAGCTCAAATAAAAGCCAAACCAAACAACAAAACCATCCAACCACAATACTACACAGTATTTAAAAGGGGATTATAGCAGGAGAATCAACTTTTTACTTGGGTAGACAGTGACAGGACACTGCTCTATGCTGCTCTGCTCCCTTATTCATGAACAGCGGTGAGCCTGAAAATAATGGTAGCACTTCTACCCAATGAATGGACATACTTTGGCACTGCCCAAGGAGAAATGTCTTTGTTTAATATTCTCATATTTTGCCTTTTGTTTTTTCAGATGTGGTGATATCCTCCTCGCTGTCAATGGCAGAAACACATCAGGAATGATGCACACCTGCTTGGCAAGGATGCTCAAAGAACTGAAAGGAAAAATTACTCTCACGATTGTCTCCTGGCCTGGCACTTTTTTATAAAACAAATCTTCATGGAGATTTCAAGAAGTAATTTAACACAGAAGAAAGGCAAACAAAAACAAGAAACACCACAGATGTCGGCCATCTTTGCTTTTTGGGAGGCCAAATATGTGTTTATAAAGAAATGGTTTGTGAAATTTCAACCTGCATGTCAAGAAAAGCCAAGTTTAGACAAAGCAAAGACACGTGTCAAAGAATCACTTTAGAGTGATTTAAGCTACAGACTTAAGTTATTTCTTCCCCATGTCCTCAAGCTTTTTTTTTTGTTTTTTATATATCTATATAATGCATTATAATAGTAATGAAATTCAGGGAGCAGCACCTCCTGCTCACCCACTTTATTTTGATTTAGGAGAAGAAATCCTTGAATAACCTACAGAAAAAATCCTTGCAATTTTTCTAATTGCAAAAATCAGGTGAAGGTTTTTATCCAACACATGAATAGCACTTTGGTTATGTGTACTTTTTCGGGTCAGCATGAAGCTGATATTTTGAAGACTTTCAAGTACCATTTGTTAGTCTGTAAAACTGTGAATTTCTAAAATTATTAAAAATAACTGTAACTGTGTACTTGTACAGATGTTATTTTCATCCAAAAGAAAATGAACCTGTACCCTGATGACAAAGTGTAACTTCTGCTGTGCTGCCATACCAATCTCACATGTCACTGTGCTAGAAGGTAATCTGAAAGTGATGACGGACTTGTTATTTTTTTTCTTAAAATAGTTCTTTGCCTTTCTCTGCAAGATACTCATTTTTCAAAGTCTTATTTTTGTTTCTCCTAGAAGCCAGCAATGCGGAGAGGCTGTGTTTGTTCATCTTTATCACGTTAGGCACAGCTGTCCCCTAGAACAGAGACTAAAATGAACTTTCTCTTAAGCCACTGAAAAGCAGCAGGGATGATTATCCAGTTTAATTCTTCCTTATGCGCCCACACAAACCAGATGTAATTACCAAGTGTATGATCACCACTCACTCAGCGTTCCCTCAGAC